GTGTTGCCCTTCCTCCTGATGCAATGGGAAAAATCACTTACATTGCCCCTCCTGGTCAATATTCATTGAAGGTTTGGGTGCTTAAATTTTATATCATGCCATTCTATATGCTTTAATGTGGTACAAAGCATTCTTTTTTCTATAATTGACCCTTTTACGTTATGGCAGGATACTGTGCTGGAGCTTGAGTTTCAAGGTGTCAAAAAGCAATTCACCATGCTTCAGGTTTGTATTTTCTTTCTTATGTCATTACATTTTCCATGATTATATGTGACAATAGGTGGCTTGGGTTAGGGTTCATTTTGTTGATTTTTTTTAGTCAAATTTTTGGGTGGGGCTGGGTTACGGCTGGCATCCAATCATCCCTTGTACCAAAAGTTGGTACTTGGCCAGGTTGATTTGTGCTATTCAGCCTTGGGTCGTTGACTTTTTGGGCAGGTCACTTAAGTTGGGTCAATATTTTGTCAGCTGTACTGATTAACTGCTATTCACTTTTTTTAGCAGTTGCAAAATTTTAATTTGAAATGTGCTACACCTGTATGCAGACATGGCCTGTCCGTACACCAAGACCCGTTGCAACAAAGCTTGCTGCAGATACTCCTCTGCTTACCGGTCAGGTAAGTCTTATTGTGGGAAGGACTTTTCTTCCAAAGGTTGTGATTTGCTGATAACTTTGTTTTCAATCAGCGTGTTCTTGATGCGCTATTCCCCTCAGTACTTGGTGGAACTTGTGCTATTCCTGGTGCATTTGGCTGTGGTAAAACTGTGATTAGTCAAGCTCTTTCCAAGGTAAATTTTTTATATATTTCTTTTTACCTTTAACTTCTTCCAATGATAGATATTCATTGTTCTTATTTTTCTGATCATGTGCAGTATTCTAATTCTGATGCTGTTGTCTATGTTGGTTGTGGAGAGCGAGGAAATGAAATGGCTGAGGTGTTTTTTCATCTTTTTATTTTGGAATGTTAATCCCCCTTGGAGATTTTAATATCCTCATTCTATATTTATTTATTTCAGGTTCTTATGGATTTCCCTCAATTAACAATGACATTGCCTGATGGTCGTGAAGAATCTGTCATGAAGCGCACAACACTTGTGGCTAACACTTCTAACATGCCTGTGGCTGCTCGAGAAGCCTCAATTTATACGGGTAAAACTATGAACTGCTAATCATAGGAATTTCATAATGAAAATTGCTTGAACGGTAACCTTGGGGACCAAGAGTACCCAATTGTTGTTTTTTGGATATTTTCCATGATAATGAGTTTAGGATCGTGTTATTTTTGTTGCTTCTTTTGTATTCTGAAAAAGATATGGGCTGCCATTAACATCATTTTTTTCTTTCGTGGATTTGCAGGGATCACTATAGCTGAATACTTCAGAGATATGGGCTATAATGTTAGTATGATGGCAGATTCAACATCTCGTTGGGCAGAAGCATTGCGTGAAATTTCTGGACGGCTGGTAAAAAACCCATCAAAACTTTGCTAATGAAACAATACTTCTCCTTTTCCTAATGCTTATAGTTCAGGCATATTGACCAGGTCCATTGAGAGTGCTTCGATTTAGTCTTTTTTTCCAATCTGATCAGAGCACGTGGTTTAATTTAAATTAATGATGTTTAACTGTAATTTTGTTAGAACTGCTATTGTTTTTTCCAAGTTGTTATACTTGGTCCTCCAGCTTATAAATACTGTCACATAAGATTGGGGGGGGGGGGGGGAAGTAGCATATATTGCTATAATTTTTCATTGGCATTTACTTCGATGAGCCTGTTTTGTGTATTAATCTGTGAGAAAAAAAGTGTCTTTTGGGTGTTTTGTCGTCTACTAGCCAATGTTTGTTGCATGTATTGGACCAAAAAGAAAAAGAATAGGTGGTTGTTCACTAAAAGAGAAATATTAGTAAACTTGATTGCCATCTGGTTTGAGTTTTGTCAGCATGGTTTGAAAGTGCTCCTTGCTCATTAACAGTCAGTTCATTCTGCACTCATTTTGTCATTGTTCTCAAAGCATGTCTGCAGATAATAGAAACCATAAGTTTTCTGCTGATCCTTTTGCCTTATTGACGGCATTGTGATTTTCCTATTGACATTTCTTATCTGATGGTTAATGATGTTCCTCTAAATCTGAGTGCTTTATTTTTTTGGTAAAAAATTTATCTACTTGAAACTCTTGAAATAGCAAAAACTTTCATAAGGTTTAGTGCTTAGGTGCCATTATCTTTTATAATTTAGATGTTCACTTATTTTAGCAGGTAAATTCTTTTTACATTCTAATTTCACTTCATTAATGAAAATGAATGAAAATATTGTTGTTGTTTCTATGTCTGGTATACTTCTGGTATTCATTCTATTGGCTAACAGCTTTCTTTCTATTAAGCTCATACTAGTATCTGTTTTGATTTCTGTTGCAGGCAGAAATGCCTGCTGATAGTGGATATCCTGCTTACCTGGCCGCAAGATTAGCCTCTTTCTATGAACGTGCTGGTAAAGTTAAATGCCTTGGTGGGCCAGAACGTACAGGTAGTGTCACAATTGTTGGTGCTGTTTCTCCTCCTGGAGGAGATTTCTCTGACCCTGTGACATCTGCCACCCTCAGTATTGTTCAGGTATAAATCAAGGTTTTATACATTCATTAGGCGCCCGCCCTGTCCCCAATGCACCAGGGGATAGGAGGGAGAGAAAGGGAAAGAACCAAAAATGATAATGGAAGCAGTTCAGTATTTTTTTTTTTCCTAATAAAAGTGCCAGCTGTGTTGTTGCTGCTGCCTTTTAGCTGTTATGACTGTGATACTTATCTACGGGAAAGAACTTAGTGCAGTATCTCCATATTCCTTGTTGGTTTGAATTATAGGTTTTCTGGGGTCTTGACAAGAAGCTTGCACAGAGGAAGCATTTCCCTTCTGTCAACTGGCTTATTTCATACTCAAAGTACTCGGGGGTATGTACATAATTCTATCCCTCTTAGTTTGTAATTATCCAATTATACGGCTTTCCTTTACTCTTTTCCTGAGCTGGCCTTTTCCCAAGTGATACAAGTCCTCCATATTAATTGGTTGTTTCTTCTATGTTCCTAGGCATTGGAATCTTTCTATGAGAAATTTGATCCTGATTTTATTAGCATTAGGACAAAGGCCAGGGAGGTGCTTCAGAGGGAAGATGATCTGAATGAAATTGTCCAGGTAAGTTTCCTTATCTTGCTATGGTTTTTGATGAAATAGAATCTTGCTATTTTATTACTGTTTAAAGACATAAGAGGAAGAACATGTGAGTGTGAATTTTATTTGTCATTTTGACCTAGCATTGAATCATTAGACTCATCATAATGTTGCATTCTCTCTCTTGTCCCCTCCTTTGGCTTTCAGTTACACGTTCTCTTTGTAATGTTATTGTTAGTCTTTGTAGGCTGCTACTGCAAATTTTTAGCACCATCTTTTTATCTCGTCTCACTTCAGCACTCACTGGAATTTGTATTGTTACAGCTTGTAGGAAAGGATGCTCTTGCTGAAACAGATAAGATCACTCTAGAAACTGCTAAACTTTTAAGGGAAGACTATCTTGCTCAGAATGCATTTACTCCGTAAGCTTCAGCTCTTACTGTTTGATGTCAGAAAACTCTTAGTAGCTATCATTGTTTCAATGGCTTTGTTTTCATATGGTAATCCTTCTTGCACATGTTTTTGCGTTTGATGTGACAGATATGACAAATTCTGCCCATTCTACAAGTCTGTTTGGATGATGCGCAACATTATTCATTTCAATACTTTGGCCAATCAGGTAGTGCATCCTTGCTCTGTGCCACTCTTTCAACTGCTGATCACTGCTACCTTTTTGTCCAATAATTTCTATTATGGCCATTTTTAGCTACTTGGAAAAGCTAGAGGGAAGACAATGACAACTTTTTAAGTGGTTTATTACTATCCTATTTTGATTAAAGAGAAGTTGTGGATGGACATTAGTATTTTAAATTCTAAAATATATATGGGGTGAAAGATTCAGGCCATAGCGTAATGCTTCATTTTATAGTGAGAAGAGAATTACAATAGCAGGTTCTAGAAAAATAGATCTATATATAGACCTTGCCTCCAGCCTTTTACCCTTTTTTTGTTATGGGATTCTAGAAAACTAGGTCAAGGAAATGTTTTGTTTTGACTGATATATGTCAAGCCTCTAGCTTTGTATATTTCAACCAGTTCGGTGTCTATACAACTTTTGTGCTGTACTTTTTGTCTGATTATTTTTATGTCTACCAATTGGAGGGAGTGTGGGTCTAATGAGTACTGCAATATCTATGTTCAGGCGGTGGAGAAAGCTGCTGGGATGGATGGTCAGAAGATAACATACAGTCTTATCAAGCATCGTCTGGGAGAGCTCTTTTATCGATTAGTGTAAGTTAGAGCTTTCTGCTGGAAATTCACCAAAGAAAAAAAAAAGAATAAAGTGGAAATGACTAAAAAATTATTTTTTTAGGATTCTGTGCTTAATTTGTCAATTTCTTGACACCACAGGTCACAAAAATTTGAAGACCCAGCGGAAGGTGAAGAAGCTCTCGTGGCAAAATTCAAAAAGCTTAATGAGGATCTGACAGCCGGTTTCCGTGCATTAGAGGATGAGACAAGGTGAACCGAAGTCAAAAGATTCGACTTTTTCCCCAGTCTAGTCCTAGTTTCAATTGTTGGGGTAAAATCGCTAGGACTCTCTCTCTTTGTTTGAGTGAATGAAAATTCTATCTTGATAGATACATGTTGTGCCGGCATTGTAGCGTTCGTTGGCCTGAATTCTAAAGTGCTATAGCTATGAATTCGTTAGTATGATTTTCTGCCCTTCCCCTTTTAACAGGGGACTGAAACTCTTTTTTATTTATGTATTTATGCAATAAGATGTGTATTTTCCTTTGATTTTGGCTAGGAAAGTGATGCTACTATAATAAGAATAAGCTGTGTATTCAGTATCATCAATCTATCATGCGCTCATTGCCCTTTTTAGCATAAAATTCCATCTTTTACTGAGCTGTCAATGCCAACTCCCTGTTGCATATCCATAGGACAGGAGCAATGAATTTCTCCAACAGACAGGGACAAGGGAATGCATTCCTTGCCGTGCCTAATTTTGAATTATTGTGATAACAATTTTATTAATTCTCATAAATGTATTTAAAAGAATCGAAATAAGCAAATTCATCCTTTTCCAAAATTTCCCTCTCCGTTAAATGGGTATTAAGTAGGCTGCAGCTTGAAGATAAAGAAAGAAGTTGCGGCTTCTGGGATTTGAACTTTCGACTGACTTGGTAGATGTCATCTCGTAACGGGTTCACTGATCTTTTCATGTAGGAATTTGAGTATGCCTTGAAAGGCAGCCTCTTCATTGGTGTTCTTCATCAACTCCCCGGCAACTTCTGCAGGAGTGACATTCACCTCCTCCAATAGCCTTTCAATCTGTTGGAAAACACCATGATTGCTAATCCCCAAATAGTTAAACGCAAGTTGCTTGAATACGGATGCATTGCAGTATGACATGTGAATATGCATGTCCATACGACCAGGTCTCAGCAAAGCTGGGTCTAATCGTTCTTTATGATTGGTTGTGAAAATAATGATACGTTCTTCCCCACAGCATGACCAAAGACCGTCAATGAAATTCAAAAGTCCTGACAGTGTCACCTGATTGTCACCTTGATTTCTCCGAGATCCATTCTCCGATTCTCGATTTTCGAGCTTGATAGAGCAATCGATATCCTCAACAACTAGTATCGATCGACTAGGCATGGTAAGCAACAAAAATCGAAGATCTGAGTTGGTTTGGACTTGAGTCAGATCCAAGTCATAAATGTCAAATTTTAGGTGATTAGCCATTGCTGTTATCAAGCTTGACTTGCCTGTCCCTGGAGGTCCATACAGCAAATATCCACGTTTCCAAGCTTTCCCAACTCTTTTGTAGTATTCTTCCCCATTGGTAAAGTTTTCAAGGTCCTCCATCACTGCCTTTTTCAGCTCCAAATCCATAGCCAGTGTCTTGAATGTCATTGGGTGTTGAAGTTTGACATCATTCACATCCCACCTTCCATACATAGCTGTGTGGAGATTTATTGTTTTATTCTCTTCTCTGATCAAACTTGCTCTTTGCAAAATGTATGGCAAGTATGAATTCAGCACTATATCTTTGTTTTTCTTGTGAAAACTCAGCTCATATTGTCTAATTTCTGACCGTATAGATGCATTAAGATCACCATGGTTTGGTTTCCGAAAAGGTACAGATTCAACTTGTGTGCAAACCAATTTCCACTTCATCTCCACATTTTCATAAACATCAACCAGTATTCCATTTCTATCCATGGATAGAGCTAATTTGTCTTCCTTCTCACTTTTGCCTACCTTCAGTCTCTGAATGGAGGGGGTTGTTTTGCTGCCCAAGTATATATCAGCAGCTTCAAACACTTGGTTTACGGCTAGCCCTCTGAATTCTTCTATGACGATTGTGAGTTGAGAGGAGAAATGGTGACATAGATTTTGTAAGCTGAAGGAGAAGTAGTTTAGGACTTCTGCTGGAATAAAATCATTGGCGATGGTCCGAATCACCATTGCCGTTGCTGCTATAGATGCTGCTGTGGATAGAAGGCTCTTCGCTTTCATCACTTTCCCTTTGGACAGCATATTTGTGAAATGTGAAGTTGAAATAAGTGGTAGATATTGTTGAAAAATGTATAGCTCTTGCCAACGGTCGCCTCGACTGGTGCTAGAATGCTAAACTTTTAGTATCAGTGATTAGGTTGAAACGGGTTCAGATTCTGACAATTTTAAGTACAAAAAAAAAGGTATAGCTCTTTGGAAATCTTTGTGTAGGAAGAAGGTTTTGAGGGTATGATTGTGAGGAAAGGAAAAGCCTATAAATCCTGCCTTTTCTTGCCTTGCATCTGAGACGTACTCCTCGATGAGATTTATATGGTGTTTTGCTGACCATTTCAGAGGAGATATTTCCATTCCTTCTTCCCCTAGGTCTTGACATTTCTAAGCGAGACTAAATTTCCAAATTAGTATTGCTGACTTGGTTATCTAATTTATTTTTCAGATACTAGAAAAAGAAATTTCTTTGGCCGCAGGCACTTGCTTTGTCATAATAGTCTTATAGAAGTTTATATATATATATATATATATATATACATAAAAATTTTAATAACTGAGATATTTCATTTAAAAATATTCAAATTTTAATTAAAATTGAAATAATCAATCGAATCGAATTAATTTGATAAATTAATCATCATCAAATTAATTTCAATGTATTATCAAAAATGATTTTAAACTTTTAGATTTTGTAGAGGCTTTTATGTTTAAATGGATCAATCCATTCTTCACGAAATCAAAATCTTGGTATTTTCTTAAAGGTTGATTTTTGACTTGAAAATCATTTGACCAATATTGTGCATTTAAAAATTGTGTTTTTGAAAAAAAATAACTTAGCCCAAAATATTGAAACAAATATCGAAGAATTTCTAAATAACAAAATTCAAAGTCCAATGATAAATATTTGAAATGAGAAATATTGGACTTCATTTAGAATCATCTTTAAAAAACTAGGCTTTTTTTAATGGTATAAATTATATAACATGAAGAACTTGTATTAAATAAAGATTTATCAAAATGATTAATTAAGTTATTAGAGCTCAATTTATTCTTCCTTTCGGGAACAAAAAATCCAATAAATCTTATTGAAAATTTTCTTTCTTGAAAAATAGAATGCTAAAATTGTACAAATTCAAGGAAAATAGTTTTTTTTTTTTTTTTTTTTATATCAATTTGGACTTACATTTTCAAATTAAGGTCCCAAAGAAGCATAGGACATGAAACAAGAGCAAACAATTTCAAGCATAGCAAATAGTTCAAGGAAAAAAAAAAACAATTGTATCAATGTACCCAAATCAAGAATTTAAGCACAATGTTACAGAGTCACTACATGATATTTATGAGCAAAATGATAAAAGAACATCATGCATAATACTCAACAAATCATGTTTTACACAAAATGTGCTTAGAATTTGAATGCATCAATATTATTTTAAGCATATATTCAATAAATCATTTTAATTAAAGCAAAAGGTCATCATAGATCACACTGTGACTGTGACATGGACTAAAGTAACTAGGCAAGTAAAAACAGGTAGAGAGGGGCAGAAGGCAAGCACTTATCCAAATATAATCTTACTAAGTGCAGGTTGTAATAATGTTCGAATATAGCAACTAAAAATTAAATGCATAATCCGCGATAACCAGTCGACAACCTCCATAAAACAAAGCATTTATCTTTTGTTGACAGCAACTTTGTTTGGTACATAACACATAGAAGTTCCAAATGAAAACACTGAGGTGATCTCCTTGATGTTGCGTGAATTAACCAGGGCCAACTTTAGGAATGTCATAATGCTCGCTCATGTTTGCCAGATATTGGTTGAAGTCCTGGATTCTATCTCGGTGAGATTTATTAGCTTGCTTAGCCAACCTATGGACATCAAGCTGCTCCCTCTGCTCAATGTATCGTCTCTCTGCTGGTGTGAGATGATCATCATAATGAGAAGCCTTCCCCTCCCCACTTGATTTGTCAGCATCATTGATATCTTCTTCATTGGGATCAACAGAAACTTCTTTGCTTCCACCTACATCAAGTACCGGCTAAAACTATGAGGTCTAGAAACAATTATGAAATAGGAACATCAAACAGGTTTTAACAGTGTATAACAAGTTAGAAGCAGGTTGAGTCAAATAAATTAAGTGTGCACAAACAACAGAACTACTAGTCAGTAATTTTTATTTCTTTTCTTTTTTTACTGTAAAATTACTACTCCAACCTAAATCCAGTCAAGCAAAAGGGCAACAAAATATAGATGCAGCCAAAAAGATTTAGATGTCTCAGTTAATGTACTGTTTAAAAGGCAATTTATCTAGCAAAAAAAAACCAAGAATTATCCTCCCTACAACGTTAAGCCAATCTCTGCACCAGCCTTTATGGTAGTAGTAGTCACTCTAACTAAGCTCACACATAAACAATTTTCAGAAGAGGGCTTTTACTTTAGATAAAAGCACTATCATCATAGCAATAAACAACAAAATATCAATGCATCCATAAAGATTTGGATGTATCAGTTAATGTACTGTTTAAAAGGCACCTTATCCAGCCAAAAAAAAAAAAAGAATTGTCCTCCCTAAAATGTCAAGCCAATCTCTCCACCAGCTTTTCTGGTAGTAGTAGCAGCAGCAGCAGCCAAGAACTAAGGTCACTCTAACTAAGCTCATACGTAAACAATTTTCAGAAGGGGCCTTTTTCTTTACATAAAAGCACTATCATCATAGCAATAAACAACAAAATATCAATGCATCCATAAAGATTTGAATGTATCAGTTAATGTACTGTCTAAAAGGCACCTTATCCAGCCAAAAAAACAAGAATTATCCTCCCTAAAACATCAAGCCAATCTCTCCACCACCTTTTATGGTGGTAGTGGTAATAGCAGCAGCAGCAGCCCAAAACTAAGATTACTCTAACTAAGCTCATATACAAACAAATTTCAGAAGGTGGCTTTTCCTTTACCTAAAAGCACTATCATCATAGCAATAAACAGAGTGTGTAATATAAAATTAAGTAAACATAAGAAAAGGTTGTTATATGATCACCACAGTGCAAAATTAAATTGAGGAAATTGAAAATAAATTAGGGTTTAAAATCCAATCCAAGAAAAAGAAAACCGACCAGAAGCAGAAGAGAGGTCATTTTGGGTACTCTGAAAATCCTGATGCTGCTTCTTATGTTTCTTTTTCTTCTTGATTCCACCAGCCTTAACATCTAAGGCTTTTCCCTTCAGCTTCAGCTTCCCACTTACTACATTGTCGTATGCTGACATTTTTCCCCCTGAAAGATTCCAAGTGTTAAGAACAATTCACCAAACCCTAAACTTAGCGGAAATCAAAATTATCTCACCTTATTGGGGTTATGAATCCTGATTTCAAAGAAAGAAAATTTTGGAACGATTGATTTGAAAGTCAATTTTAAGATTTTACAAAAAAGAAAAAACGCCCACTCTGATTTTCCCAAACGAGACGAGGCAAGACGAGAGACAAAAGATGAAGAATTTGGCTGTGGGATTTGAGGAAGAATTGATATGCGAATGGGTGTGGGCCCAGAATATTTGAGTTTAATTGGTGCTTTAATTGAAAAATATAATAGCCTCTAATATGTATAGATTTATCTACATCTGGCGATTTGTGAATTAATATTATGTAAATATTAAAATATATGTACTCGTATTATATTTTATATAAAAATTATATATTATAATTTATATAAATATAAAAATAAAAATATATTTTAAATTTATATATTATTATTATTATTAAAATTTTAAATTATATAAATTTCGTATCTTATTTATATATTATATTTTAGATTATAATATCTAAATTTATCTAATTATTGTATGACTAAAATTGAGTTTATTGGTCATTTTACTCATTTGAATAAATTTATATAAATTATAATTTTAAAATTTATGATATAAAAATATATAAAATATATATTGGCTGAATGGAAATTATTTCTCAAATCAAGACAAAAAACTTGAATTTAGATGAAATTGACATTTTGTTTTGAACAAATAAAATATTTATTTTTTATGTTAAAAAGGAATTATCATTTAAAATGCATAAAAAATTTCAAAAAAATTATCTTATATGCTAACTAATGGAGAAAATTTTAAAGGCTACAAAGGAATCCATAAAATAGATGCATATCTTATTAAGCAATATTTACCCAATAATATAATAACTAAATTAATTTTTAATATCATATGTGAAATTTAAAAATTCTACTATCCACATATACAAAAATAACTCAAAATGAAAAAAAAAAAAAATCCAATTCACTTAAACCATATTTTCTTTTGAGATTAGTAACATGAGGACAACAACAATAAGAATAGATAAAATCCTTTCTCATCTCTCATCCACTTGCATTGTACCTTAAACCCCAAACTCTTTTTTTTTTTTTTTCTTATTTTAAGATAAGTAATTCATTCCTCTTTCTCATTACTTTTTTAGATACCTAACAAAAATTCATAACTGACATGTCAAATACAAAATAATTTTTTATTTTTTTCAAACTCATATATGATTTTTATTAAAATTTTAAATTATCATTTATATATATTTATTTTTGTATTGTCATGTCAAAATTTTGAGTAGTAGAATGCAGGACACTTTAAACATGATGCAAGCAAAAACACAAGCACTCAAAAGGAGTTTAGAAAGTGTTGGCATTTGTAAGAGAGATGATATTACATAGCACTTCCAAGTTCAACCACATGGTATAGATATGCCAAGTAAATTCAATTCAAAATGAGCAGCAGCTTCATTCATCAAACATCTCTTAGTAAATTCCAGGAATGATCTTGTAGGGAACCTTGTTGCAGTATAGTTTCCAGTACTTACCATACCTGAAAAGTAGGATCTTGTCAGAACCTTATTCAACTTCACTTTTAAGACAATTGATTACAGTTAAGAGTCTTTGTTTTTCCCTCTTCCTCTCCTATATGAGTGTGTTTGTGCATGTATTTGCATGTGTAATTTTTCAAGTATTATTGACATGCATGCCTGTATAGGCAATGAAGAAAGAACCAAGTTAAGTAGGATAATGCCAGCAAGATTTATTCATTAAGCTCATTTTCGCGAAATACACGGAGCTAATTTCTCAAGGAGAGTAAGAAAATGGGAAGGAGAAAATTACCACTCAACTGTAGACAAAAAAAAAAAAAAAAAAGGAAAAAAGAAGACAAGAAAGTGACAATTACTGTGCGTAACAAGGTGAATGAAAGATTTACACCATGGCCATACACAAACACACAACAACTAATAATAGCTCAAACATTTGACCTCTTACTTTCAAAGGCAATTGGGAACCCTTTTTACAAGACCCAAAACCAATTAGCTAAAAGCCACATTGTCCCTTTAGTTTGGTTTTAGGAATTATGCCTAACCCGAATAACAATTTGAGTAGGTAAAAGTGAATGTTCCCATTAAAACGGGACATGCTCTAAAACCAATTGATTCGGATTTGACTTATGTGGGATACCATCACTTGAAAAATATAGAAAAGAGAGAGGCAAAGTCATTGGAAAAGGAAGTAATAAAAACACAGAAAAGATAATGGTTCAAAGTGATAAACAATCCAGGTAAAACACAGAGTTAATATTACTTACTTGGATCGACACCTGTCATCATCCCTTTTGGCTCGGTCGACTAAGAGGATGGTAAGAAATACCACATAGAAGTATGGCAGAAACTGATGAAGTACCAAAAGCAATAAAAGTCTCAGATATGATTACAAGTAGCTCCAAATAGTATACTTACGGCAATTACGAACAAGCTTACATGGTTGAACAGAGCAGGAACAGTCCAGAAAAATGCAGCTAATATTTCTGGCACATAATGGAAATGACGAGACAAACCCCACCTGGAAAAACCGTTATGTAAAATAATGTTAATGTTGTTAAGAGGCCAGAGCCCCAGCTCAAACTGTATTTTCTGGTAAAGAAAACTAGGCAAACATCATTTCTTATGAAAGGCCATTTGGCTACACTTAAGCTTGTACATGCTTATTTAGCCCGTAAATATCTTCACAACAGAAGTAATACCGAAAATTCACAAGATTCTTTTATATTTGTCAATTTTAAACCTCATATTGAAAAATTAAAGTTTACGAGAATGAAATCAATCAGCTGAGACTAACTAATGCAACTTCAACTGCCTTGTACACGATAAAAACAAGTCCTAGCAGAGAAAGCAAATACTTGTCTATGGTGGTCTGAACAAATTTCATTTTCACAGAAGGAAAACTCACCATCCTGATGTTAAAAGAAGGCTGGTTTTGGTTTCCCCAGATGTTGTTGTGTAGGTGGCCTCAATCTGAAGAAAAGACCAGACAGGGTCAGACCTGCTTTTGAACACCTATGTCCAAATTTATGAACAAGAAAATAGATATAAAAAGCTATGAAACAAGCACCTTTGATGGTGCTTTCCCCCAGACTTTGCATTTGCCATTTGTTCTGCGAAATTCTTGCCTTTGCCTATCACAATCATAGTTGATATATATGCAAAGAATGCCAGCCACAAGGATATAAACTGCAAGCTGACAAAATAAAAAGCAGATTTTTAGAATTAAGAAAAATAGAAAACATACTAACCAAAACCTTTCTTTGACCAGTGTTATGCCCATCAAACTAGGTTAATTTTCAGCGTACAACCAGGCTTAATTTGCAAATTCAAATTTTTTTTGTCCATCTTTTACCTTTTGGACTTTGATTAACTCTATAGAATTATCAAACTCATCTGGACCTTGGACAACTGGAAGTCCTGAAAGTTTCAACTATTTGGTTTATTTTGACTAATTTACCAATTTAATTGATCCAAAATTCAACTGAATAAACAAACTGCTTGTTGCATTTTGAAAATGAATCACTCAACAGGATATCTTTCCATTGAACAAGCTTTTGTTTGCATGAATGAAGATACATATAGTGAATTACTTCTACAACCCATACTATTAACTTCAGTAAAAGCTGAAAATGAGCTTTTAGGAGCTGGGAAATTGAAGCTCCAAGATCAGAGTTATTGTAAAAAGATGAAATCTAAATCTGGTAGACAATTTTAATAAAAGTTTTAAATAGACGATAAATATTGCTAGTTATTTCAAACAATTGCAATTTAACAGCTCATTTTGAAAGCTCTACTTCAACAGCCCTTTTTCTCGTAACTCCAGCCTGGACCAAATAGGCTGTCTGAAAAACATACAGCTTATAACCAACTGGTCCCAGAGAATTATAGAAATTCACTGCATAATCTAATCTTGACCTTGACAACTTTACAAACTTTCAACATGTCACATAAATTTGGCTGAAAGTTCCAGTATTTTACTCTAAAAATAAAAATAAGGAGGAGAATCACCTAATTAGTCATCAATCATAAGTGGGACTGACAAAAATAACAAAGCCACAAAAGGACAGACTCTAGAGGAAATCATTGGGATCATTGATCCCTAGTATTGGAATTGAATTGTTATTTACTGGTCTATAACTTATCCCCATTCCTATCCATGTAGAATTTCCTACTAACTTCAGTAGCTCAGTAATGAGAATGTCTACCGTTTAGACATTAGAGTATTTTATTCAACTCTTCCCTGAGAGTTCCATCGATAGGGAAAGCATTAATAAAGAAATATGGTTGTATCAAGGCCAATTACAAGAGATGGAATACTTAAGGCAACAAGAACCTTGAAGAATGTTGTTGTGCTATTTGACATATCATCTGGAGGAATTCATTATAATTAAATTCTTAGAACACTTTAGAGATAAAGCATAATTCAGATTTGGTAAAATGTTCTTTTATTGCAAACCTATTATGATGGGTTCGCTAAAAGGAGATTTTAGTCCATAAGAGGCGATTTTAGTCCATAAGAACATTTTGCAAAATTAAGTTTTAAGAAATCATTTACAAAAAATACAATGGGATGGACCAAAATTCCAATTTTTTTGGGTATTCCAAAATCATTGCAATATCCTGTTAAATCCAAAGGCCAAATGAGCAAAAGGATAAATCAATGAATTTTCACATTATCTTTCAGATATTAAAAATTGACTCAACCAAATTTTACCCAGAATAGTGCAAAGGACTGAGTTCAACTCCTTTCGCCAACTAAAGTCATTAGTTGACAATATTTTTGGAACTAAAGGAAAAGATTAATAAATAATGTGAAAATTTGGAGAATGGCATTAACATATGCAGGTACGTTAAAGGCCTAAATTATGTAGGTATCATACGCAGAAGACAGGCAAGTAACATTGGTGACCACAATCATATAATAAGAGAATGGATAACAATATATTGTTTATAATTTTTGGAGAAAGGCATTAACATACCTGTGTTCCAAGGTTCACAGGATGGTTGACAAGGTACATCCCTGGTGACGTGTACACAGATGGAACCCAAACCAAGCATCCCCAACAGATATAGAACCCAGCTGCCCAGATATATGAATTAAAAATAATATTTCAGTTATCAAAAAGTTATAAATCTGAAGAACAGCTGAAACTACAATGGCTGAGAATTTATAGTTCGGCTTCAGGTTTGGCTTACAATAAACCAGTAAAACCAAACCAGGCTGATATCTATTACTGCTTACAGATTATGCTTAATTCGGTGGAACATCAAAACCATAAGCTAAGCTACAACCTTCACAATGAATAAAGTGTCACATATGCAGAAACTCATATGCATATACCTATGAGCTTTGCATACTTAGAGAATATACACCTTTCCATCAATAGAAGAGCATATCCGGGTAAAAATCATAAAATAGGGGCTTATTTGGGTACAATAAAAGAAATGAGGCTTTTCTGAAAATTTAGGATAGTGCAGGAACTTATTTCATATTTTAGCCAACAAATGAACAATAAACAAGACTTAGAGAAAGAATAGTAGAATGAGTGTAAACCTCGGTCATGTGCAATGTCCATTGTGTTCCAATAACCAGCTTCCCACCAAAAGAACTTTGTAACATACACCAGCATCAATGTTGTATTCACAAGCATGGAATCAGAAACTTTTCCATTGACTTCATACTGATACAAAAAAGGTGGATATTAAAGATGATATCTAAAAGATTACTTTCCTAAATATAGAAGACTTCAATTTAGTTTATTATAATTCAAAGCAAAATGAAACCAATTGCAGATATGAAGAAAATACCATCTTACACTATATCCCATAAGCTAAAGAATTTAGTTGAAAATTAGTATAATTCAAAAGCTAAACAGTTAAATCAAGGTACCTGAGACATCAGACATGGTACCATGGTAGAAAATCCCATAAACTAAACAATTTAGTTGAAAATTAGTATAATTCAAAAGCTAAACAGTTAAATCAAGGTACCTGAGACATCAGACATGGTACCATGGTAGGTAACTAGGTAACCACCTGCTCAGGCATTAAATCTAAAAGTTGACACCTGATTTTGTAATAAGAACAAGCTACTAGGTCAGGTGTAAATGCTCTCTCTAGCAAGTAATTGACAGAATGTTGAAACCTACCCAAACCGGTTTATGCTGCCATAACAACTTTGAAAATCTAACGAAAATGATGTACCAAACTTCTTGTAAATTTGAAGAAGAGAAGGCAGAGAGGATTTAAAAAGTTATATGCCTTTATTTCCCTATGCATAACCTCTCTTCAAGTTGTCTTGTCTATCAGTTCCAAAACTTACCTATCTGCTTGTAGCACCACATTAAACACCAAAAGGGAGTGTTTTCCCCCTAAACTATTGAAATATACCTAAACTTCAGAGGATATATATATATATATATATTTTTTTTTTGAAAAAAGTTGGGTAACAAGGCCTAGCAATATGGGATCTTAGAGAGAGCTTATTTGCGCAACCCCCACCGGCAATAATTAACCAAGAAGAGCTACCTGCTTTATGCAATATGTGACAGCAAGAACTGCCCAAGACATCAACCCAAATCTGCAATTTGTAAAGACTTTGATGTCAAAGTTTTTCCCAATTCGTGGATACAGCTCCATACCCTGCAACAAGAAGACCAAAAAATGTAAGCACCACATAACACTTTATGCTCACCACATGCACCATAGGAATGCATTCTCAAAGTTATGTTGCATAATGCACCCTATGTGCTTGTCTTTCAAGAATCAGCAGATGCTTGTAGATTACTTTCTTAGTCTCTACTTCTTCATTGTAGGAAAAGCTTGCAGAGGATTTTACAGTTTGGGCTTGCTTTTGAGTTCTTATTTTTTCACAACATTTTACCATTCCGACACATATATACACACCATAAATTTTGCATGCCTGCATATGTGGGTTTATAGCACATATTATGCAAGATTTTCAGCCTCTCAAATATGAGACAACACTAACTATTTGAAGCTCATATATAGCATCAGAAGTCTTCACTCCAATAATGGTCCATAGATTTCTAAAACAAATAGGTCAGAAGGTTTGAATTTCAGCTAGATGTCAATCATATGCCTTCAAACCCCAGCCCTCAATGCACACCAACACACTTTCATTGTATAATCAACTAAAAACATCAATCTGCATCTTCTGTGGCAATGTTTCCATGTTTCCTATTCTACTTGACCCATACCTTTCAAGTTCAGAAAGGACCTTTAAAAAGTTACACGAGCTAACGTAAATATAAAAAGTTCATAGATTCTAACCCAATAGAAATCAATTATTAAGTTCCCAGATGACCCGGAATCAGTAGAAGAAGGTGCCACATGACCCTGTAAACATAAAGTGTAGTGTCAGAGTTATAATTGGAGCATTACTTGTGAAAATTTTGCATCAACCAAACTTATTTCCTCACTTTAATGTACAAGAAAATACAAAAAATAAAGCTTCCAAAGATGAGTGCTGAAAATATTTCTCCCAAATGATCATAAACAACCGTGGGGTTGAATATCCCAAACCTGGAGAATGAAAATTGGTAAAGTGATTAAAATTGCTTGAAGGTTAGGTCAATTAAGACCAGAAAGCAGAAAGAGCATGTCCTCTGAAAAATAAGATCAAACGAATGCTAATATTATCAATTAAATTTCCATTTGATAAATTTCCAAGGAATGAATAAGAACTTCATGCCAGAATACTGCAAGTGTAAATAGCAGTCCAGTGCAACAAAAAAGCATAGGTCTACTTCATACTAAGATTAGAAGTTGGAACATTGGCATCTAAACATTTGGCTCAATGGTATGTGCATTTTATCCCCCAGCTCAAAGAACTCTCCCCCCCCCAACGCCCCTGCAGGTGTACAATTCCCAAATTGAAAAAGAAGTTGAAACATGGAATAAAAAAACAGAAACATTGTTTCCCAACTGATAGCAGGGCCTCTAATTGCATTTCTAGTTTTCCTTTCCCACTTCCAATGGCCAGTAAATAGCGGGTTCAGTATATTTCTTCAAGCAAGGAAAAGAAATTCTGCAACTGCTTCTGATTTGCTAAAGCTAAAGAGTAAAGTCCTCACCACCAAAGACTAAGATAGGTAACCAATGTCACAAAATATGCTGCCATACCATTTGCCTGCAAAATTGATAAAATGAAGCCTATGATTTATGCAATAAAATAGTTATAAATATTATAATTTAAGTGTTCGTAATTCCATTTTGGAGATATAATAAAAAAGTAAAAAAGATCACCAAAATTATCACCAAACATATAAGACGGGATGCAAAGGAATTGATAAGCATTTCCTAAAACAACATCAAGTAACTCAAACCTTGTAAACAGGTATGTTCCCGGTGGGAGATATTGGGCCCTCAACCCTCTTGCCTGGGAGAAACAATTGAAGTGCTGCTTCAAATGCTCCATAAATGAAAATTATTTTCCAGGCAGTGGCAGTGGGTTTTGGCCATATTTCTATTAATCCCTGCAGTCCACGCTGCTTTAAAAAATTCCAAGTTTGGGCAACAGACCCATCAGCATGTACCATTGTATACCATCTGCATGTAGTAAAAAACAAATTCAATATGCACTCAAGAAGCAAACTGCAATAAATTTTTTAAAAAACCAAGGAAGAACTCAATTATGCAGCTACAGAAGGATCTCACATTCCTAAAACTATGGTAAAAGCTGAATGTTCCATTATGCTTTTAGAAATCAGAGAATTCTTTTTCCGATAGCATTAAAATGGTTCAGTGGATTTCCTTAGATTTGCTCAAATGGAACATAATAAAAATTCCTAATTTTAACTTCAAATCTTCTACATAATGTTACCAAAGTTTGCATATATTCATGATAAAATAAAAAGCTTGTTCTATGTTGGTTGTATGGTGCGGTAGAATCATTACTGGGGAAGCAATTACTCCAGAGAGGAAATTTTAATGTCTGGTCAGTAAGTGGGAAGGTAAACGTGGTGCCCACCTATATGCACATGCAAATGTCTGCATTCACATATATAAAATAAAACTATATTTCCTCTTTCCGAGCCCCTCAAAAAAATGTATATTTGCTCTCATGTCATGTTTTAGATCCCAAATATCATCATGTGCCAACAAGAATTTAAGCATAAACAATTTTTACATTGTCCTATTCAACCCAGTGGAGTGGATAAAATATTTCGGAAGTATCAGCTATTAAATAAAATTGTAACCTTTTTCTTTTTTTACATTTCCCAGAAACCAAACAAAGATTTAAACTCTGAGCACACTTTTTCTTTTACACATTCTCAGGACCCAAACAGAAGAAAAAGAAAAAGCTTCATTCAAGAACGCTTCATTCAAGAACAATCATTCAAAACTCCAACAACTATAGAAATGACTATGAGTTTCAATAAAACATAACAAAACCAAACATTAATAATAATCACAATATAAAGATTTGTTAAATCTATAAATTCACATTCCACAGGATTTTCCAAGGAAAGGAAACCCTTCATGGGAAAGTTTCTGTTCCATTCAAACAAACAAGAAAAACAATATGATTGACTTCAACAAAACTTACAGATAAATAACCAAAAGAGGACAGATAGTAAAAACTGAAAAAAAATGAAACATGATGTCACCAATGCTGAATCAATGAACAGGCTTTGCTTCTATCATCCCAACAAAGAATTCAATAATGACAAAAAAAAAAAGTTAACTTTCTTGATCTTTATGCTTCTTAAAAGAACTGCCAACAATGATCAGCAACAATCTGTGGTAGTTTCAATAAGATCTAAAAACTTGTTATGTTTTGTCTTCATATTTCAAAGATTTGGTTTTTATTATCATTTCCCTTCATCTAAATTGAGTTACAGAAATGAAAAAGCCATTAAAACTGAAAAGCTGCAATGGGTATTTACATAATCACAGGATTTTTCATTCCATGAGTTAGATTCTAAGAAAAAAACTCAAAAAAGTGAAAAAAAAAGAAAAGGAAGAAAAGATTTGAAAGAGTTGGGGTTTTACTTACAGTAAGATAACAAAAGGAGGGCAAAGAGAGAGAAGCGATAACATAGAAAAATAAGTGACCGCTGCTGAATGAACTGTCTTTGCTTCTGTCGCAGCTGCCATTTTTGTTTTCCTCTCACTCTCACCCTCAGTCTCTCGATCTCTGCTCATCTTCAATTAGTGTGAATAAAAAGCCCCTGTACTGAAACTGAGACCAAGAGGTTGGTCTGTTGATCTTGACTTAGAAAAAAAATGTCTTTCTTTTTCGTATATAAATATATAAATATACATATATATTGTTTTTCAGCATTAAAAATCATGTTATAAAAAATTAAAATTTTAGCAAAAAAAATAAACAAAAATGATTTTTTTTTCGAAATTCCATGTAAATTTTTCTTTAAAAAACATATAAAATGAGAAGGAGTACTAAAATATAAACAATTTTGATGGAAAAAAATAATATAAAAAATAAAATGTGGTGTGGGAACCCGGATTTTCAAAAAAATAAAATCCGATTTTATTAGTTCAGAATAAATAAAATTCATTAAATATGAATTATTTTATAATTTTTAAAAAGATAACATTTCATTTAACTTTTGAATTATTGTAATTTTTTTAATATAATACTTAAATTAAAAAAATTTTAATCGAATACGTTAGCATTAATTTTGCATATTAAATTATCTTAACCTCTTAATATAATTAAAATAATATTAACGTAACATTTAAATATTAAAATAGATGACATATGGTTATTATATAGCAATGAAATCATTATCACATATCATTTTTAAAAAATAAAAAAATAAAAAATTATTTTTTAAAAATTATATTATATTATTTTATCTTAAAAATTGACGTATGACAATAATATCTAAATCACATGTAATTATGTATCATTCACATCAACATTTAAATGTCATATTAGATTTATTTTAACAATCTTAAAAAATAGGGTAACTTGATATATAAAAATATAATTTAAGTATCTAATTAGATAATATTTTTCTTTAAATATTATATTAAAAAATATAAAAATTAGGAAGCAAAATGAGGTATTATCCCAATTTTTAAATAAAAAATATTCCAGTTGTCCCGCATTTGATTTTTTCTTAGTTGATTGGACGAATAATTAGTTAATTACATTAGTTTAGCCTAAACTCACTATCATAGGTCACATGACATCCGCATAGGCATGTATGAAACGAATAAATACCAGCTTTAATCCCGTAACACACGGGATGCTAATAAATGTGCAAAGTAAATTATTGACCTATATATATAAATTTATAAGTAAATCAGTAAAGTAAATTATTGGCCTATATATATAAAAATATTTATATGTGCTCTTTACTTAGGCTAATTTATCTAAAAAATAAAATATTTAATAGGGAATAAGTTATCTCTTTTAATATATGAAATCAAATAAACAATTAAATAAAAGTATAACATTTAATACATTATTAATGAGAATACTTATTATTTAGAATCCAATTTTATATATGTTAGTATTTGTTGTCATGTGTTTTGCACATGAATTTTTTTTATTTTTTTAATAATAATTATACATTGAATATAAATGGTTGTATATTATACAAATATTTGAAATTAAAAAAATACATATTAATTTTTTCAAAAAATAATAAAATGCATATTAATATGTAAAGTTTATACCAAATGTAAAATTGAATTTCTAAAGACAAAGGAATTTTTAAATACAAAAACTATAAATTAATAAAGTACTCCATTTTAACAAAAAAGTTTGTCCCATGGACAAAATATATTAGATTAATATAAAATTTGTTCCTTTTAATGTTAATTTAAAATTAAAACTCTAAAAGCAATTATCCCTAATATCAATTGATATGTCATTAGAGTTGACACTTTAAGTTTGAGAGGTTAAGAGAGCTTAGATGTGTAATATCTTTTTAAATCAAATATATAGTAGGGTAAATGGGTTTAAGGATAGATTAAGAGTTTTAAAAAAATTTAAAACTCTAAAAAAATTAATGTAAACTTTAATTAATTTTTATTTTTAAATAAATTTATTAATGAAAATACAATTTTTATTTATAGATGGTGCAAAATTTAATCATTTTTGTTAATTAAAAATTAATTCTAATTTTTCCATATTTTAATTAATTATTTGAAAATAAATCAACTTTTCAAAATTTTTATATTTTTTTCTCATCGAATTTAATTAATAGGAAAATAAAAATTAAAAAAACATTTCATATTAATTTCAATCTTTTATAACCTATTTATTTTGAAAAACTTTTCATAGCATGCTGACATTGAATTTAAGAAAATGGTAAAGACACATTTAAGCACCAAATTTTGTACCATAATCACTTAGGTTTTCAAATGCTTTTGATGGCGTAAAATAATTTTGGAAATTTTGAAATTTTGGGCAAAATTGAAATTGATGTAATAGTGATGCATTAGAATTGATTTTGAAAGCATTAAGAAAATTTTACTTCAAAATTTTGACGTTGTCTGAGTTGTTCTGTAACATTTTAAATATTTGAAATTATTAGACAAACTTTATATTATTATAAAAAGCATCCAATTTCCTTTATTTTGATATATTATAAATTCAAATACGACCACTATTCAATAAGATGTGATTGAGTTACGAAGCATATTTTGAATTCTTAAGTAACTTTAGAATTTTCAAGACATTTAAAAAAAAATTCAATTCCATTGACTCCCTAAGCTTTCCAAAAAGATCATGATCATTCAATTTTGATATTGTACGAAAAAATTATGGCATTTTGAAGTTGAGCTTGTACAATGATAAGTGTTTTGACTGACCTATGTTTGTCACATTTTCTTGGTTTATTTATCATTTTCAAGATTTATCCTCCCAAAATGATAATAACAACTGTTATTTAATTTTCTAGGGGATAAATATTGAGTTTAGCCTAAGTGTTGATTAGAAATGTTTATAGACCGAATCAAACTCGATTAGCCTTTGGAATCCCTTAGAATTTGCTGATGTTTGGTGTGCATTACAAGAAAATAAAAAATTAGTGACAGTTTTGTAACGGTGTTTCACTTATAAATACCGTTAGCTTTCGTATTTTTATAAAACTTAAGATATTTTTTTTTATCAAAATACCATTAAATATTCAAATAGCAGCATTTATACTTATAAATGCTACCTAAGATAAAACATAGCGGCATTTATCGACTAAAACACCTTAAAATAATTTTTTTTAAAAAAATTGTAGTGATTATTGAAGGCGTTTTTTTACAGACAACGCCTTAAATAATTCCTTGAAAAAAATAGAGGCACTTATTGAAGATGTTTTTTTTTTTTTTATAAAAAATGCCTTTAATAAATCTCTTCGTCAATGTATATGCCAAAACTAGAATAGAGCATACAGTTGTTAACCATAAGGTTATAAGTTCAATTCTTTCCTTTACTGTTTTTTGGGGTTTTCAAGAGATTATTTCTAAGGGATGATTGAATGTATTTTTTGTCCAAATATGCCTTCAATACTCCATACAAAAAATTTTGGAGGGATTATTGAATGTGTTTTTATCCAATAATGCCTTCAATAATTCCCTCAACAAAATTTATATGGGATTATTGAAGGCATTTTTAGCCACAAACACCTTTAATATTCCCTTTCAAAATTTTCAAAGCATTATTGAAGGTGTTTATGGCCAAAATCGCCTTCAATATTCCATTTAGGATTATTGAAGGTGTTTTTAGTGAAAAATACTTTTAATAAATTTAGGAATATTGTAGGTGTTTTTACCCAGAAACGCCTTTAATAACCCCATTTAACATTTTGTGAGGGATTATTGAAGGTATTTTTAGCCTAAAAATGCCTTTAATAATCCTATAAAAAACATTTGGTTTAATTATACATGTAAAGTCAGTTATAGTTTTATACCCATAAAACATTTGAAGTCAATTGTAGGTTTATACCTAGAAAATATTTGGTTTATATATGTGATACTATGAATTACATTTTGAAATTTACATTATGCACATTGTAGTATTTAAATAAATTGACCAGACATTCAAATTTAAAACTGGTAATGTTGCCAATCTACAAACTTAAATTATCCATTTAACATGGCATGTTAAAAATATTATCACAAATGATCCTTATATATTTGCACTCAACCAACAATGTCCAACCTTAAGGTTTAGCAATAAATGATAATACATACTCACACCACTCTTTACGAACTTTATTAAGTTTATCTACTGTGAAGCTTTCTTTACTCTCCCACTAAACAAAATCAGAAGTGTTAATAATCGAGAACATAATTTAGCTTTTTTTTTAAAGATATAACGACTTTATGAAATTTATACTTACCTTAAATGTTGTGATCATAAAATCATATAAAATTATCCCTCTCATAAAACGAAGGACATAATATTTACATTTAGTATATCTGGGTTGATGAGGTACTTGAAAAATAAATTAATGGGTTTAAGAAATATTTATCTACACAAACTCAGCATAAAAGAATAAATTTTATATTTACTAGTAATGACACCCATTTTATCTTTGCCTTTTTATCAAATGTAGATATTACCCTAAATTGAAAAGAAAAAAATTACTTAATACATAAATAAAATTACTTATGAAAAACAAAAAATATATAATATAATAACATGTAATACCTCTTTATAAAATTTTTAATATTGGGGTTAGGCATCACCATTGGTTGAGCAGAATTAAGTAAATATGTGTTAATGAATTAGTATCAATCACAATAAGCTGTCAATGACGACTACAAAATAATAAGAATGATATACTCAGATTAAGCATAATCTCAGATTTGGATAAGGTTGGAATAATTATTTGTATGAATATAACTTACGCATCATTATATGAGAGCAAATAATAATCAATTTATTTTTTCATGCATTCAATCGCATGATTAGCATAAAAAATGATTGTGCCATTCTGCTCATTAGTGAAATTGGGGTCAACGAATCTAAATCAATGGGTCACTTGTCTCGCATTGACCTCTTTATTTAGGAAGCTACATGATAACAATCAATAATACTAGTTAGTAATACATTGTAATATAGATTAATACATATTGGGTTTACATATTTCTATTTATAAGCTAACCTCATATAAGCAATAATATCAGCAGTTGATATTTCGTCCAGGTTATAAAATTCGTTAACCTTACCCACACCAATGTAAGAAAATAATGGTTGATCAAATAACTCATCCTCAAACTCAACGGTTATGCAGTTTCCTCCGGATAAATGATCAAGTAAAATAATTAGATAACT